AGGTTCTCCATGTGCAGAAGAGCAGCATGTTTTGAACCTGAATGTAGTTCTTTATGCCTGGCATATTATCCAAGGTGGTTTTTTGCAGTGGTGAATAAAATTTTAAATTGTTTGATTTAATACATGCAGCCTAAGACTACTGTGACCCAAAAATATTTTTAATCTAACTGTAAGTCTAGCTATACTTTTACTACTGTTCAACATAATTATTTGGTGGCTACATAGGAGTGGGAATGTCAAGATACAACTGCTTACTTTTGGGGTTTTTTTCTTCAGTTTGTATCTGTAAGACATTGCCTGTTACTTTACATCAACCTAGTTTTCATGCCTAGCTCCCTCTGCCTCACATGCAAATACTGTGGTGGATTCTAGTGTGGATAAGGGGTCTCAAGGCCGACTCCTGAAACATATCTTCAGCTTAGAAAAATTTTTGCATCCCTTCCTATTCTGATAACAAAGATGCTCATGAAGCTAGATGAGCTTATCCAAAGCTGGTTGTGTGTGTTTGTTCTGAACCAAGATCCTTCTTCCATAGCAATGGATAAAAAGACAAATCTTTGGAAAAGGCAGCTTCTGGATTGGACTAACAGATTCAGAGAAGGAAAATGAATGGAGATGGCTGGATGGATCCTTACCAGTTTACACGTACGTAAATAAAAAACAACGGTGTTTATTTTCTGCAGATGCTGCCACTCTTGCTAACACTTCTAAGAGCAGCATCTAGAAATTATCCAGTGGATCCAGAGGGTTGTAGATGCCAATGAAATAATTTGTTACTGAGGGTGCTGTTGAACTGTGGTTTTTCTCTCTGCCTTCTCTCCCAAGGCTTTCTTTCCCTGCCAGGAAGAAAACTGAATGTTGAATGAAAGAATCACATAACTACACAGCACTATGTTTCTTGCCAAAACATTTGCTCCTGACTTCTATTACAAAGTTGAGATGGAAAGCACAGACAGTTTTGCTGTCTTGGTTTGAATTTTCCTTGTTTGCGTTACAACTGGCTATAAATAGAGCACTCATTCTGATAAAAAATTACCAGCCTTTAGATAAAGCCCAAATCCAAGTGGAAAGCATTAAACATAAGGAAAATGCATGAAATGAAGGTGTCTGTGCTTTGGCCAGCTGAGAACTGAATTGGCAGCTCCCCAGGAATCCTAGGGCTACACCTAATTTGTCCTAAATGGAACAGATTACAACCACCCAAATTTTTAATACCGAGGAGCGGACTAAAGAGTTTATGGAGCTGAGCATGCTGTGCTCCAGAAAAACAGGCTACAGTCAGTAACATGTTACGAAATGATTAGCTGTGATCTCATTGGTGTTTATTTTGATGAGAAACATGGAAAATGTCAGATGCATTTCCAATGAACCGTAATATTTTTCCCTTTTTCTCCCTCCCCATTTTCATCTTTCTTTCTCTTTATGGCAGCACTGTGACTGAATCCCACTTAAGCTACTGCTTTCAATAGGTTTCCACTACACCGTGGTTTTAGGTGCCCTGTTGTAACCTCAGAGCTGTCAGTTACTGATTTTCAAAGTGTTCCATTACTTCTGGAAAGCCCTATGTCCTTCCAGGTGCCTGGACAGACACTCCGTGTCAGTCAGGCATGTTTTTAGCTGAGCATGGACCATATCAGCCAGCAATCACAAGCTCTCTTCAACAACTTGTTTCTGCAGAAAAATGGTGCTTTTAAGTCCTGAGGCTGGGAGTGTTTCTCACTTGTTAAACAAAAACAGGATGAGGAAACACTTGCTGCGTGCTTTTTACATGCTGCATTAAGTTTCACCATCAAAGCTCAAAAGTTACATGTATATATACTTTGTACCTTCCTTGTAAGTCCAAAAATTCACTTCCCATCTGAGCGTGGGTCCATAAAACACATGGATTTTTGCTGCTCTCCCAAGAGGTATTCAGAGGGCTGAGCTCCTTTGCGATGAGTGATGCCATTTTGGCAAACTCATGACCCTGCAGGCTCTCCTCAGTCCCATCTGCCGGCAGGGATGCGGTGCGCCTCAGTCCCTTCTGCCGGCAGGAATGCGGTGCGCAGGCTTTGCAGGCTTGGAGTAATATACATGGGGCATGGAGCACTCCCACTGTACATGCGTGTACATTCAGAAACTAAAATAAAGCTCATCAGTCTAATTTTAGGTCTGTAAGTTTTGGCAGCCTGAAGCCGAATAGATTCCCTTCTCTGTAATACATCTGTTTTCCATTTTCAGCAAGAGTCATGTATTGTTTGTTTCAGTATGTATTTCCCATTCAGAACGGATCTCATGATGTTTTTGTTAATTTATTGCTGTGAAACACTGTCATGTGGTGCTGTGTTGTGCAATCATATCTCTCGCTTTTTTGGTTGAAAGAAATTGGAAAACTGGGCAACCTGATAACTGGAGCCATGGTCATGGGCCAGGGGAAGATTGTGCTGGGTTGATCTATGCTGGGCTCTGGAATGACTTCTACTGTGAAGACGTTAACAATTTCATTTGTGAAAAAGACATGGACAAAGGTAAGCAAGGCACTTGGTTTGATTATTTCACTGTACCCATAGTAAGTTTGCTGCAGCTAGAGAGGAGAAGATCCTGGCTAGATGCTATGGCAGGGTCTTTTGAGGAAGAGGGGGAAACACGTGTGGAGCACTTCTACTCAGATCCTGCCCAGCATGGACTTTTCTAATACCCTATGTGATGCGGATGCTGCATTTATTGCACTCAGTAAAAGCAGCCTCCAAGCTGGTTGTAGCCATGGTGTGCTCTGCATCTTAACTGTCTCCTGTAGACATTAAACATGCCTAAAATTGCAGGCATGATTTGGCACATGCTCCAGACCCTAACCATACTGGAGGCTGTTTTTATAGACTCAGTGGCCACACAAGAGGGAGGGAAAGGTGGCCTTAGGATGGCTCATGGACCAGTCTCAAAAATCCAAAAAGACTCCCTTTTGAGAGCTTGTGCAACATGAGGCACTTGATGACTGCTAAGGAGGTCTTAAAATTCCCACCACTGCCAGGAGATGTCCCATAGGGCTGAGAGGCTGGATCCACATGCTGTAACTCACTCATCTGTTGCAGTTGGAGTGAAGGGCTCATAAACTGCCAATGTGCCCAGCAGTCATGCAGGTGATTGCCACAGGGCATCTCTTTCTGGTTACACAGGCATTTCTGCAACAGCAGAAGGGAAATGGCTCACATGGCTGCGTAAGAGCCTGGCCCCATCATCACAGAGCGAGGCGGTATTTGTATTCATAGTGGCGCTCTGCCTAAACATTATCTCCTCCGCACAACCTGCCTAAACATTGCTTTGTCAAGTGTGCCCAGCTGCTCCAGTTGCAAACCTGTAGGCTGAATTTTAAGTGAAGGCAGGTTGATTTTCAGTGAAGAGCCAAAATTAAATCCCATCCACCGAAATGCCCCCTAAACCAAAACAAAACGAAGTGCTGAATGAGCTGCATGTGTGTATAACTCTGTTTGGATGTCCAGAGCAAAGGACCGTGTAATGTAATTTGCTCTCATTTTCCTACATACATTTGTTATTTTAGGAAAACTTTGTGGTTTACAAATATTTATCCTCCAGGACTTCAAGGATCTGAATATGAGTCCACTTTTTTACATACCTCGATCTCTGTAAGTTTTCTTTTTGGAAATGCACTTAAACTTCACAGGCTTTTTACATCGGGGGTTTTTTTTTCTTTGTTTTTCTTTTTTTCCCTCATACTGCAGGGCAAATATTTGGAGTGTAACAGGCTGTGACTTTACAGATACCTACATATTATGGAAATTTACTTAAAGAAGAAGAAAATCCCGGGAGAGAGCAACATTGCCTACCAAAATTGAAAGGAGAAAAAAAACCCCAAACAAACAACAGCAAGCACTGAAAACTGATTTAAACGTGTAAAGGAATTCAGCAGCAGCTCTTCTCCAGCATCCTGCATTTATTCGAGGCCTTTCAACCCACAGCATCAGGAAATACCGTTGGACTAATTCTGTCACAGATTTTCTTCCCAACCAGTAACCACATACGTAAGCGACTTGTGTCTTCTAAGAAAAGACATTCTATCAATTTGAGTAAGACTCTTGGTCACTCATATAGAAAAACATATAAAGCAACTGTGTAAACAGTATGTTTCATTTGCTAAAATCCCAAATGTAGGAAAATTATACAGATACACGAATATATAGATTTTATATAAATATATATATATAGTCCAACTCTTATCAATAATATGGAATATACTTTTAAGAGCTTTTAAAACTTTGTATTTTTGTACAAAATATTTGCTTTTTACAATTGTTCTCTTTTTTACTGACTTTTTTTACAAATATAGTGCACAGGGGCCAAAGAAAACAATTAAGGTACTAATAATTCATTAATTTTTTGCTGGTTTGCTGTCAGGCCTAGCTCAGCTATAGAGAAATATTTTCCAGTTAAAAATATTTGTACTTTCCCAGATTATTTGTTCTGGTTAAATAACTTTTAAAGCAGATTTTAGGTAGTGTTTTCCTTATTATATGCAGTCTAGTCTGCATGTGTAACAATTAAGTTGACTAAGGACTAGATACTCATTATAGCTCTGATCACAGCCAGTGTTCCATTGGGGTACTATGCAAAGATAATGGTAATAAAAGCTTTTCCTTCCTGCCTGCCTACCTGCCTGTCTTCTTTCCTGCCTGCCTACTTTCCTGCCTGCCGGCCATCCTGCCTTCCTGCCTTCCATCTGCTCCTGAGAAAATGCCCCTGGAGTAAATCACCAGCTTTTAAGAATGATTTTGAAATGTTTTCATTCCTTCTCCCTTCTTATGAGGAATTCTACCCCAGTAGGTGCTACCCATATTGCAAGTCAAGCCCGGGTGAAGGATTTGATGAAAACAGAAGCAAAGGAGCTGCACATGCTGAAATATGTTTCTTTTTAAGACAGATTTCAAAATTTGGTAAGAAAAACATGCCATACTCAGAAAAATCTAATCAGCTTCTTCAAAGTGCTTTGTAAATCGATCTCTCTGTTTTCTGGGACCACTACTTCTCTCCCAAACAAACTGGGAAATAAAATACACTGCAAAACAGAAAGCATTGTGGCTAATGAGAAGATATCATCACCCAGCCTGTTTCCTCCACGGTCCCATGAGCCCTTGTCTAGGCAGCAGTGTAGCTTATCAGGAATTAAAAATATTAGGAACCAGTTAAAGTTCATTAGCAGAAACCCTGGTTTTGGTTCCCAGTTTTTATACTCGTTGCATGGCCACAGTCTTTATCACAAAGGAAGTTGTTTTGGTTTCTTGGGAAGGAGAGGTGTTTTTCCATTGCCTCCTGACCTGCCGTTTACCTTGGCTGAATGCACATCAGTTTGTTGATATACTCCAGCTCTGTCGGAAAGAGACAAGATTTTGTACTTCTGATTTTCAAATACTGCTCGTAAGACCAACCAATTAAAGACTGTTGCTTTCCTACATCCCATACTCCTCCAGTGTTCATTTGGCTTTTTAATTTTACCTATATTTTTATTAAAGAAAATACACAGTACATTACATTTGGGGATCTGTCCTGTGATACGTACTAGCTACTAGACAGGAACAACATGAAAATTGCATACGTTTAACTAAAAGTGAAAGTTCTGTGTATAACAGCTGCAGAAACCACGTGTCGCCAGCCTGGAGGCAGGGCTTTTCTTCAGGCAGTCTGGATTTCCTGAGACTTCTCTTTTGGCTTTTTCATCAGGTTTTGGGTGCAACATGATTCTACCATACACCCTGACATGCTGTACCTAGTTGTGTGTAGGTAAATGCTGTAGTGTTTACATGTATACACAGTGTCTGTGGAGATAATGTTAAACTGCTGTTTCAGGGAACAAGGTACTTTGCACGGCCAGAGAGCTTCACAAACCCTGGTGAGTGCAGTTTTGCAGAGACACACTGAATTAGAAGCATTGCTACCTTTGGTTTGAATGTTGGCTTATTTAGGTGAAATAAGCCCATTCTGAGCATGTGCCACGTTAAATGACCTTCTTCCTGGTTTTTACTGATGGAATAGACTTCTGTTGACAAAAGAAGTTAATGAGAAACCTCTGGGTAAGCCCCAACTATACTGCTTCCTTGCCCCAGTTTCATCCTTCTCTTCCTTCAGCAACAGCAGTGATGGTGCATATTGAGATGAGATGATCCAAGAGTCATCTAGCATCTTCCAGTCCCTCTAAAGAGGTTTTCTGCACAGCAGTGATCAACAGCTATAGCTGTACTTACAGCTGCATAAGGTTACAGAAGTGGCTGTTGATCAGTGAAAGCTTCTTAGTCTGCTGGAAACTAGCACAGAAGCTATTCTAAACTATGGGCAGTTGGGTCGCAACCATTGAACCAGGGCAGTGTAAAGATGCAACATGTTTATGAATTACGTATTAATTTCAAAGTGAATTCCAGTGCCAGGTTGTAACTATCTATAGTAATGTTCTGATTATTCACCTTTATTTGGGAAACAACATGTGCCTGGGCTCAAGCTCTCTGTTCACACATTTGAAGCAAAGAGTGTAGCTGCAGAACTGGATAGAGAGGGATGCTGCAGTTGCATGCCTGGAGTGTCCCGTCATTCTCAGAATCTGGCCTGAGCAGCCAGGCGGGCTGACACAGACCATCCTTCTGACCCAGGATTCCTGCAGGAGGGAAATGGAGGTGTCAAATGGCAACAAAGACTGAAATGGAGGACTGGGAGAGTGTAAGACATCTTCAAGAACCTGCCACAGAAAGGCGAGATTGGCAGGGATGCAAGCAGGACACCAGAAAGGGCCAAGAAATTGTCATGAAAGTCAGAGCTGCCACATGGGGTCTGGAAAACATCCCCATTAAATCCGCTTTCTGTATGGTCTGAGTGATAACGCAGGTTGTATGGAAAGTTTTAAGTTATAGGAAATTATTTTGTCCCAGCTCGAGTTTTGGCTTTCCTTCTTATGCACAAATGCTGTAACTTGGCATGCTGAGTACACATTTCCATCGTCCTTTTTCTTGTTTTACATCAAACTAAATGCAAGCTCAAATACCCTGGCAAGCACTGGGACTGTTGCAAGAAGGGGAGGGGAAGGCAGAGAGGGTGCAAAGTCACTGTAATTTACATCCAGTGCTGCATTTCTTAATGTCATTTCTGACTTGCTTCATTAATTTATTTGGAAACACCTTCATCTGATTAGAGCTTATAAATCTCAAACTTTCATCCCCTTTGATATCTATAAATAATATGTGCAAATGTTCCAATAAAGGAAGCAGTAAGCGGAGACATGGAAGTGAATGTTGTTTACTCTGTGCATGCTTGTGTAACCAGGAGAGATGGGGAGTTCAGAGAGACGTGGAGCCAGAAGTATTTGTAGGTATTGAAAGTCAAAGTAATGAGAATTATTTTCATTAAAGCCTTCCTTCTCACACCATCCTAGTTTGAAGCCTATTTTATCCCTTAATTGCAGTTTTCATGCATTGTTCTTGCAGCATCGAGGTGCTAGAAACTTGGTTTTAAAGGTCTGAGCTGTGCAAGATCCTTAAGTACCAAGAACCCCCTCTTGCAGTTCACTGTTCCAGCAAGCAAAAGCACCATAGATGGGTCCCCAAGTGAAGGATGTCTTGAGTAGAGCAGGGTCGGTCCCTAGATTAGCCAGTATTGCAGCTAGCTTAATTCGGCTGTTTATAATGGCTAATCTGATCTTGCTATTTTTTGCTCTCTCATATGGCTGACCTCCTCTTCTAATTTTCTGTTCCTGGCAAGTAGCTACCCTGTTTTTAGCAAGTAGCAGGAACTGGTTTCTGATCACTGGCAAGGCAAGGAGCTGGTTGGAGGAAAACGCTCTGCAGCAAGTAAGGGAAAGGTGGCCAAGTTGATTCATGTGTGAGAAAACAAAACCGCTTTTCCCCAGTGCAGCTTCCTTGGTTAAAAGCAGAGCGGCTCACACAGATGTAGCATCCAAAGGGAACAAAACGTCTCCAGCTCCAGCCTCCAGATTTGCTTGCTTTCTCCCTCCTCGCTTCTGTGGGTGTTCTGTGCACCCTGGAGATGTTTGCTGTCCCTGGAGCAGGCCCTGTGCCACCTGATGCTCTTCCCCCACTGGGACACCCCTCTGCTCCCAGGGCCTGGGCAGGAGCAAAGAGGAGGCTCCCGGTGCTTGCCCACACTCACTCAGAGGTAGTTTGGGTATCTATAGATGGGAAAGCACAGTGACTTACAAAGCCCTTGTTTCCCAGAAACCAGGCCTTCCTAAATCCAGAGCCTATTTGTTCACTCACCATCTTCACCTCATTTTTTCCATGCTGTTTAGTGAAAAAGCCAAAACCAAACCAAACCAAAAAAAAAAAAAACAACCAAACTTGGCAAAAATAATTCTTGAAAGTTCTCATGTGTTTTCTTTCTGAGGGTGAAATACGTTTGTTTTTTCTTTCCATCTGGCTCAGAGATGAAAAAAACGTTCTTTGATTTCTTTTTCAAAATAAACTCAGTGTAACACTCCAAAATGTGTGTCGAGATTTTTAATTTTTTTTTAATACCAGAACAATAAAAGCAAATCACTGTGCAAATAATGCTCTTTTTACACACGATCTTGCATGCTGTGAGGATTTTCTTACCCAAAGGGCTTCCCAGAGGCATTTAAGTATTGCCAGCCTGATTTTGTGACTGAAGGAAAAAGGAGATTTTCAAGAATATGATTCATTTTGATGTCTCAGTTTTGGGGATTTTGTTTTCATATGTTGGGGAGGTGATTTTTACAGATTTTGGGGGTTTTTTTCCAGTAAAACCAGTATTGGCATAAAGAAAACCAGTTTTCATACACCTCAGTGAAGGGAGTGGACTTTTCAATGCTAAATGAA